AAAAAAAAAAAAAAAAAAAAAAAAATGATTTAAAAAACGAGTTGAAAAGCATAGCTGCCGTATGAATGCATGATTCATAATAAATTAAAAAGAAAAAAAGATATATTGTATAACATTTAAAAATTGTTTGATATTTTTGTTACGCCTCTCTGTGATATGATATTATGGGCACATTCACAATACTCTGTACATTAAACGCATTGATCTTTGTAATCTATAACGACGATATTTGAATAAAAACTTCTTATTGATATATGTATAATAAAAAAATTTTAAATGTTACATAATGCTGAAATGATTTTGAAAGAATATACGGATTATTATCAATTATCATTAATAATTAATGATTACAAGTGGAAAGAAAATAACATATATTACGGTTTCTTCCTTGTTAAACCCTTTTCACATGAAATATATATGTTATATAGCTATAATATGATAATTAAAAAAGAAGCATAGAACGAATTTAATAGCCCGTAATTTTTAATTTATTTTTAAATATACATTATTGTAATGTAATTTTGCCATTGATCTATTGTATTCTATTGTAAAATGTAAGAGTTTTCAAAACAAAATCATTAATGGTATTAATAATAATAAAACAAATTATCTAACAAAAAAAAACTTATTAATGTGCATTAATGATTTTAATTATTTAAATATAAATAAATATTATCAATGATAATTAAAAATAAATTGATAATTTTTATTTAAAATTATAATACTGTTGTGCGTACAGAGATGGGTTGATGTAAAAAAACATCATCACCGATTTTAACATTCCCTATTGAATAAAGACCACAATAAATTCCCAAAATCGGAGCTTTTCCATCCACAGATATTCGATCTTTATTTTTCTGCTGACGAAATGTCCTCAGAGTTTTTAAAGGCTCTAGTTTGTCATCAACCTTTCCAGTTTCAGGGTTTACAAGTGTCATAGTACATCTAATTTTTATAATTTTTAATAAAAGTATCATTGACAAATATTAGATATACTTATAATATATATTTTATATTACCTAGGACAAGGTTTAACATTCCTTAAAATAACACTTGAACCTATTTTAATCCACTCCCAGTTATCTTCCTCGAAAGCTTCAGTACCAGAGACAACAATATTTGGTCTAAATTGGAGTGCTGAAATTTTGTTTTCTAGTTTTTTATTGAGCTCCTCCAACGAAGACTCAGTCATAACCATGTAGCTCGCTAAATCAGCAAACAAACCCTGAAAAAAAAAAAATAAATCCATTTTATTGTAAATTAAAAGCTATGAAAAAAAAAAAATTATCATCATCACCACTTACAACATCATCATTGGTTAAAGTATCATAAACTTTAGTAAATTTTTCCCAAGGACCTTCTAAAATATTCCTACTGTTATTGTTTATTGTATCAAGTGCTAGACCTATTCTCAGGCCAGAATTTGTTCCAGTTAGAAACCTGTTGAGATATAATAAATAATTAAAATATTAGCGAGTTATTTAACAAAAATATAATTAAAAACATTATAATTTTTATTTGAATAATTTACTGAGAAATCCATTGAGCAGGTCCATCTCCACAATCATTACATTTAACAGGTTCACCCCACCACATTGTGCAATCAACCGCCGTATTATCGATATCTTTAGGTAATTCAAAAATATAATGAGTCATACCTGTTGCTCCAAGTTTAACTTTTGATTTGTCGACAGCACAAATACTTACTAACAATAATGTTGGATAATTTCTTCCGGTTATAAATTTACCAGTTTCTTCATTATAAACCATAAACATTCTAAAAAATAAAAAATGTTCCTAATTTAAATTTATTACAACAATATGATAAAAATAAAATATTTATACCTATCTCTTAATGTAATACAGCATTGAGTATCAGCACAAACAGCAATTCCATATTCAGTAAAGTTACACTCTGTAAGTTCTTTACCACGGCCTGATTTAAGTGGATAATAATACAGTTCCTTTATTTTTCCTATTTTAACCCATCGAGGATTTGGTAATTCCTCAATTATTTCATCAGTCTTAACTACGCGCTTTATTTTATTTTTTTTATTTTCCAATTTACTGATTTTATTAATATTCTTCTTGATGGTATTATTGTCATTTATAATATTAAAAGTTTTTTTGACTTGATCCCAAAACACAATTACACCAGCAATTGTCACACCAAAACTTAAAATCACTCCTAATTTCCATGTCTGCAATTTTATAAAAAAAATTTTATTTTTCAATAATGATGTAATGATGAATATATTCATATTATATATTATATACTATACTCACCAATAATTCTTTAGTAGTCATTGTTTTATTATTTATTTACACAATAAACGTAATAATACATATATAAATAAAATAATTTAAATAGTTATATCAGATATAACCGCGATAAACGAAAATTTATTATCAAATAATTTAATAAAAAGCTGATTTTACTATACATAACAGCGCATCAGTCAATCACATTAAAACTTAACTGGCTTCTTTTTATCACTACATACACAATAACAACTAGTTTTGATAAGTTGTGTTTTATCTGTGTCATTTTATGACACGGAAAAATAATTATCAACTATATAATAATTATCGTTACACAACTCAAACTGCGAAAATTAAACAATCCACGTATGCTGATTAAATAATCATTAGTTGAATAACAAACGTTCATTCAATTATTTTAAAACAAATAAGAACAAATGTAAAAGAAAGAATTTTAATTTTTATTTGCGTCGCCGGAAACTCGAGAAACTTAAATTTCAGCGCCTCTAACCAGTGTGTCAAAATTAAATAGATCAAATCTGCCTAAAAAATTAAAAATAAATTATTTTAAATGTTGTAAATTAAGAAAAAAACATTTACAACTTTATTTTTAAAAAATTCAATACTACTTGGCTTGGGTTGATATAAATTTGGAGCACAAATAGTATGAGTAAATTAAACTTTTATTAGTTTGTAATTTTCATTTTTATTTGTAATCAACCTTATGTATATTTATAAATAAAAATTAATTAAATTATTTATTAAATATATTCATCTTATTATAGTATAGCCTTGAGAATTTTTGTATATATATATATATATATATGTACCATAAAGTTGTATAAAGCAAACAAAATTATAAAATTCTAATGAATCTCTTTCGAATTCAATCACACAAGCAATACTATTATATTTTAGCTCTTAATTAAAGCTATTTATTATTATTTTTTTTAAATTAAATATTTATTTACATTCATCACTGTTAAAATTATAAATTACTTTTTATAGAATTTCCAAATCACAATGCCGTATTTCTGGATGATTTTTCTGTAAAAAATAAATATTGTTATAAAAATTACAATTTAATAATCGATTATTTTTAATTTAAATAAAAATAATTACCTTGAGTTTTAATTCAATTCTATCAATTTCACCGCCTAACATATCGACAATACTCTCACCGTGTTTTAATAAAAATGGTTCGAGTTGATCGATACTTGACATTTTTTTAACTTCCTAATAAAATTATAAAAATATAAAAACGTGTATTATTTAATGGAATTCTGGTAATAATAATAAACTTACTTCTAACATTGCGGTCAAATCATGTTTATCAAGGTAAGCTCTGGTAAGTTCACGACCATCAAAATCAATTTCAGCTTTGTATCGAACAAGATTATTTCCCATATCAATACCCTTGACGTCATAAATAGCACGTACCTGTATTTAAAAAAAAAAAAAAACAACAACAACAACAACAACAACAACATTCAACAGTTGATGATAATATTAAAATATTAAAAAAAAATAATTAACTTACCATAACATCAGATTCTATCTCCGAATTTATTTTATCGAGATTTTCTTGAGGAATACTACGACCGACCAAAGCAGCAACATTTGTATAAATAATAAATGAAGCAACACCACCAAGTAAACCACCAACAAGTAACGATCCAATGGCATCGTAGATAGGATTACCAAGATAGGATGTAAGTCCCATACTGCATCCAGCCAATCCAATACCTATAACGGCTGCAAAGTCTTCCATAAGTACAACGTTTACCGATGGATCATGACCCATCAGTACATAGTCTTTAAAGGGTTTATTTTTATCTTCAGCTCCTTTTTTTATTGAATTAATAGCAACTAACAGAGTTGCTCCTTCGGACACAAGGGAACCTGCTAGTACTAAATACGCCAAGTAAAATGATTCCACGGGATTTGGAAATAATATACCATGAATTCCATGATAAATTGATAATCCAGTACCAACACAAAATATTCCAACGCCTGATATTAATGATGATACGTGTTTCATATTTGTATAACCATACGGATGATCGGCATCTGGATTCTTTTTTTAAAAAATTTATAATCAATAAATATTATCAATACAATTAATAATTATTAATAATAATAATAATAATAATAATAATAATAAATTAATTTACTTGGACAGATTTGTGTATTCCATATGCTAAAATTAACTGATTAAATGTATCAGCTGCGGAATGTATACACTCTGAAAACATACTGTGCGAGCCAGTATAAATCCACGCCACCAATTTGAATAGAAAATTACTTCCATTTCTTTAGAAAAAAAATTTATAAAAAAATTATTAATAATAAAATAGATTGAATTATATTAATTAAAATACTTACATAATAACAGCTGTCAATACAACTTTACCCGAACTACCTAACAGCCCTTCTCTTTCTTTAATTTTTTTTTCATTACTCACTTCTTTTCTTATGTCCTTCATACGCCTTTTAATTGTAAAAATATCTGAAAAAATTTTTAGTAGTTAATAACTAATAGAAAAATTTTAAATTAAAAAAAAAAAAAAATTACTTTGTTGATAAGTTTTGTGTTCAACTTCTTTTTTAATCCGTTCTTTCATCAAAGCTTCACGCGAACCCCACACCTCAAAAGCTCTGTTGTAATAAAAAAAAATATTAATAAGATATGTAGGTAAAAACTATTTAAATGGTAGATGATATGAAACAAACCCTCTTACTTAGCTTCAACGTCTTTTCTCCAATAAACAGTAATAGGTGGCTTATCTTCATAGGGTGATCTTCGTTTTGTCTTTGGTAATGATTCCAAATCTGATGGTTTTAATAAAAAATCCACCATTGCTCGTACCGGCGTTATAAAATTTCTTTCTAGTGATTCTGCTGAAAGATCAACCCGTAGTGTTTTTGCTAAAATTAACATTTTAAATAACAATTAAAATAAAAATATTCAACAAAAATTAAATTAATTAAAATTAAAAAACCTTTTATAACATTTGGATGGATTGCTTTTTTTCCGGCATCACCTTCTATCATTTTATTAATGTTATCATTGTCATTTGGTGAGGGAACGGATTCTAAAACACGCTCTTTAACAATTCCTACTTCTTTACTCTTAAATTCAACAATTTTATTTTGTAATGTTGTTTTTAATTCTTGTTTTAATTTAACTATTTCATCATCATCATCAGATGATTTATTGGTATTGGATGACAATCTTGTAATTACGGTACTTGTCTGTTTAACTTTTAAAATTTTATCGAGATTTTTCTTATCACAGACATTTAAATTATTATAATTATTGTTATATAGTAATTTATAATAATTGTCAGCCCTAGATCTGGATTGCTTAAAAAAAATACTGGAGTGGCGTTTTCCTAATGACACTTGTAAATAATACCATTGATCCAAGTTGTAATGATTTAATTTACAACCAATAATATTCCGTAAGTTACACGTACGGTACAGCATTTTAATAACTTTTTTGGATTACCTGAAAATAAGTTATTAAACTTTAGTAAGTTGTCATTGTTTGTTTATTTTTTTATCAATTTTCATTTTAAGGTTAAAACTATTTTGGTTAAGAAAAAACTTAATAAACTTACCCCAATTACTTTAAATATGAAATTAAAAAATTATTTTTCAATAACTAATATTAATAATTACAATGTTTTCAACTGATAATAATTATTTATCTAAAATAAATGCATTAAAAGCATTGTATTACTTATCGTTAATCGTTAATAGGTATATATAATCTATATACATGATTTTTCTTAAACGTATTGTGACATGTTCGAAACTTAGAAACGTCATTTTAATATAACCTTTCATATATTCATTATAATTCAATATTATATGAATAATATGAATAACTAATTAATAATAATAAAAATAAAGTGAAATATTCTTTTAAAAAATGTACATATATGTTTTTAAAATATATTTACCTTGTCTTTAAATTTTTATTTGACACGAATATTCTCATTATTAAAATTATAAATTCATTGTTTTTTAATATTTAGTTATCTATAAAATTAAATATTTTAACCAAGTTTGTTATAAACATTAATATTCTGTTACACTAACACTGTATAATTTATTTATATTGATGTGAAAGTAATTGAGTAAAAAAGCTGCATGTGTTGTATATTAAAATATATCAGCAAGTGTCGTCGTACGCGTATGATAAATTTTTTATACAGATTTCTATTTTACCAGTCTCTATTAAAAAAATTTTAAACGCATATATATGTATATATATATAAAAATAGTAATATTATTAACAAATAAATATTGATTTACTTACCTCTAATTAATTTTTTACAAACAAGAAATAAATAATTCTTTAACAATATTAATTAACAATGATAATGATAAAAACATATATATCAGTTTATCAGAATTTATTATTTATTTTTATCTTTTTATTATTGAACAAAATTTATTATATTATTATTATTATTATTTCTATAATTGAAAATGAATTAGTTTCAGTACAATGCTCAATGACAACAAATTTTTTAAATAAAAAGTATATATATCCGTATATTTACTACTATATAATAAAGTTAGGAATAAATTTTATAATTAAATAGATATCCATAGAATCTCACTGGCAATTATTTATGTACATATATTTAAATCTATTCACAATTTAAGTATATATAATAATAATAAATAATATAAAGAGTTTTTAAGTATAGTCTACAACACATCTCTTAATGGACTCAATAGATCGATTTTAATTCAGATCTGGGTACAACCATTGTTTAAAAAAACAATAATCAATTCTGTCGCACCGTGAATTGTATAAAAAAAAAAAAAAAAAAAAAAAAAAAAAAAAAAAAAAAAAAAAAAAAAAAAAAAGAGCAATTACAACACGAGTATTATAAATATGGCAGGACATTAAATCTCCTACATATATAAAAAAAAAAAAAAAAAAAAAAAAAAAAAAAAAAGTTAAACTTTTTTCCGACACAATGATTATCTACGCTGAGCTGGAGGTTGGTAAATTGGCTGAGCAGTTCGTTGCTGTGTACGTTTTTTATTATGTCCACGATTGGATCCTCCAGCACCGATAGAAGAAGCACTACCTCCACCACGTTTAAATTCGATTCCAGAATTTTTATGCTGATTATGCTGATCATAACGGGGAGGACGACCACTTCGTCGGCTATCAATTTCTGGTGGTACAAAGCTCTGTGAAATGTCTTCAGTAATAGGTATACAATCAACTTGTAATACTTCCTCGTAATTTTTAAATTCCTTAAACTGTACAACGCAGGTACGAGATGAAACAGCTGTTACTTCGGCGTTGTAGTATTTATTGTCTTCCCAATATTTGGCCATACATTGATCGCCTTTCTTCCAAGCCCATGTACCATTTGAATAATTAATATTACTATTATTACTATTATTAAATTTACTGTAATCATTGCCATAATTATTTTTATAATCAGATTGATTTGAATGAAAATTAGACGAGTTTATATTAACAAAATCATTTTGTTGATACTTGTTTAATTCATTTTTATTGTAATTATTTTCGTATGTATTTGAGGTAGTAGATGTTTTGGGATTTGATTCTGTAAAAGTTTTAATATTATGTTGTTTATTAAATAGAGTATTATTATAACTCTGTTTATTGGGATCAATATCATACTGAGCATAACGATTATCAATTTGATTCTTTTGATGATTTCTTTTAAATGGTGATTCATTATTTATTCCATTATAATTAGAATAGTCATTTTTATTTTGTATTGACGGATTATTACGATCAAATAATTTTTTAACATTACTACTATCAGTAGTTTGTTGTTGATAATTAAAATCTTGATGTTTTGCCTGAGCCTGATTTTGAAATCTCGGAGGTTTATTTTGATGAGATGATGATGATAATAATAATAAAGATGATGATGATGATGATGATGAATTAACTGACATGTTTGACATTCCAAAAGTCAATACATTGGTATTGTTATAAATATTATCATTATTTTTTTTGTATGGCTTATTGTTATCAGTATTATTTCGTGATGATGTTTGATAACCAGTACGTCCACCTTTTTGACTTTTACCACCTCTATTACTAAACAGGGAATTATGTGGCATGTCTTCACTTTTATTATTATGCTGCTGATGATGATGATGATGATGACGACTATGTCGTTCATTTTCAAATCTAGAATTACCATAATAATTACTACTATTACTATTATTAACATTATTATAACAACTATCTGTTTGTTCAGTAGAGGACTGAGCTGGTAATTTGTCTTCAAGAAAATCAAACAATGATATTTTTCCACTGCTAGGTTTAGCTTCTTCATTCTTCTTATCAGAACGTTTACCTCTTGGTTCTCTGGGTTCTCTGGATTCTCTATGTTCTCTGTGTTCTCTTTGTTCTTTGGGTTCACGTGGCTCTCGAGTCTGCTTATTGTTTGGATCATTTTTAATAAGTGATTTCAATGCACGATCAACATTATTACGATTTATTTTTAAAGCATACTCAGCTTGATCGATTGTAAACCCTTGATCAACAATTTTCTGAACAGAATGATCAAGTAATTGTTTATTACCACCTCCAAATACTTTTTTACTTCCTTGTTTGGAGGCTTCAGCAATAGCATCTTGCCTCTGGGCTTCAAATTCACTGTTCTGATCTTTACTGATTCCACCGTCTTTGGTGTCTGCTGCCAAAGACTTAAATTTTTTATCTTTGTCAGTTACTTTTATTATTTGCTGACCAAATGGTATCCAAGGAGGAGGTCCACCCTCTTCAACAGACCTTACACGTGTGTATGATGTCAATTTTTTATTCAATTCCCATTTTTCCATAAGATTCTGGACTCTACCACCCAGTAAACTCTTAACATCACTTGATTTTAAAATTATAATCCCATGCACCATCAATATTCCACCTGAGTTAATTATTATTTTAGTTCCCGGTGGTGTATTGATATTTATATCTCTAATATGATCATACTCTACAGCCTGATAATTATTTTTACCATCTGTTAAGTACAACTTTAGCATACGTGGCATTGAATTTGCTTCTTTATTTTTTGGTACAGCAACATTTCGTAGTTTCAATATTTGTACAACCAAATTACCTTTTGTAAAATCACCTTCTCCACTTGCTATCTCACGCAGATCCAACTGAAAATTATTTAACATAAATCCGTAATTATTATAAATTATCAGTTATATTTTTGTTATTATTATCACAACTTACATCAACAGCACGTTTTATCAACAATGATAAATCATTTATTGCTCCAACATTGCTTACTACCTTAAATCCTTGATCGGATAAATACCTGGATTAATTGGAGAAATAAAAAAAATTTAATTAAATAAATAAATTAACGAATAAGAATAAACTCTAAAGCAATAAATAATAATACTCACCACCCCTGTTCTTTTAATTTATCCATTGCCCTTATTATGTCAATGTTTAGAATTTTTTAAGCAATTTTACGTTTATTGTTTTACAAAATTCAATAATTAATATTTATACCGATGTACGAAAAATTTAACAATTTAAGATATATTTAAACGAACAATTATCAATGATGAGTAAACATTTGTCGTCAGCTGTCATACATATTTATTTTATTTCAATAAAAGGTATTAATTGTCGCTAAAAAAATAATTAAAACACTTGGTAATGTTCAAATAGTATTGTTTAATATATTAAGCAATGCGGATATTAATTATTTATGTGTAATTTAATTATTTTATAACCGCACCTTTTGGTCTTGGTTAGTACAACGACCATTTTGGTATAAGACCAATTACTTTTGTTATTATTATTATTATTATTATTATTATTATGTATATCGCTGCTTGCTGCTGTCTGTATTCAGTTTATATGTCACACTCACAATCTTAAATATTTTTAACTTATTTTATCTATTTATTGATTTTTATTTATTTGAACCTTTATCAAACTGATTTAATTATTTATTCATCTTATTGTTAATTTGTAGTTAATTATTTTTGATTAACAATTACTTATGGTCAAGAGAATATAATAAGATTATAGATTTTTTTTATTTTGAAGGTTATTTTGATTTTCACTTACCATATCGAATGAAAATTTATATTACCGACTGTAAGTAATAAAAAATTATTAATATTTATCAATCCGCATCTTTTCATCAGTCTTTTCATGAATAACACAATAACAGGCGCCAGAAACATAAAAACTTAAAAAAATGTTTTCATTTGAGCTATAAAATATTATTCTTTTCTAACTTGTAAACAAAGAAAAAGATTATTAATTGATATATATGATTTAAAATCTAAATAATTTACGTGCATATAGTAGCGTCCGAATGTTAATTGGTGATTACCGCTGAGTGGGAGAATAATCACCGGAGGTATATACTCATATATCATTTAAAACAATTACAACAATTTTTTTAAGTTTTAATCTATTTGCTGGTTTTAATATATAAACAGCTAAAAAGTTTAAACAGTAAATATGACTAAAGACAGTGAAAAAATTTTTAAGAGAAAAAATGATAAATATATATCAACAAGTTATAAAATAATTGTTATAATATATAACAAAAGTGTAGCAACATTGCGGATATGTATAAGGTTAGGTACATTTATTTATAATTTGTTTTTATTTAATACTTAAAAAAAATGTATGTTCAATTTTTTTTAAATTAGGTAGTATACATTTGTTATTCCGTTTCCTGTATTATGATTTGGTGTTTATTGCGATATGGCTATGATATAATAGAAGAAAAACATAGAGATGACAATCATATCACCATCTGTAAGTATTATTTTTTATTATTATTTGTACCGGGAAAATGCTAATAATTATACTTATTACTTATAATTTCGTAGGAAAATAATTTTTTATTATCTTTATAAAAATAAAATCAGAGAATTATAATAGTAGTTGAGTTTTATGATAAAAAATTCTGTTGATAATTTAACCATTAAAATTAATCCTTATCATCAATTATAATAATTATGTTTTCAATGTTTAACCAATTACAACAATGAGTCAACCCAGTCAGTTTACCATAAAGACATTTATATGAGTAAAAACGTTAATTTATTTTTCAAGTCATTAGAATATTTTATTTTAGGAATAATAGTTCCTACTTGTATGTATATATTATACTCATGTATAATAACATATATATAACCAGTATACTAACAACAAGATTTAGATTATTCAAAAAGCATTTAATAAATATGTAATTTTGAGTATACGAAAAGTATTTATTATTTAATATTTTAAATTGACACAAGGTATTAATAACAATTTTTTTATTTATAAATTTCAGATAAGGAAAAAAATGATCCTCTTTATTTATTTAAAAATTTAAATTATTTAAATAATGTATAAACAAACATGAGTGATATATCTTTGGAGCACGCTAATCACTGCACGATGAATCATGATCAACAGGTATGTAGAAAAATTGCATTGATATATTATTAATCAATTTGTATACATCATATATATATATATATATATATATATATATATATATATATATATTAATTGTTGATTACGACATACGTATGTGTTTTTAAACCTGGATGAACGTGTATAAAGTTTTAAAACATCAAAGAAAAGCTGACTAAGTACTCTGTTCGTCAACTTATTTTTATCCTAGCACAAATTTAAACATACAAAAAAAAAAAAAAATAATAATATTTAGTGGCTCCTTTTTTCCCTACCAACAAAACTTAATTAATATTTTAATTTTTCAGAATTAACAATAACTTTTGTTGTTGTTGTTGGCAACTTTTTTATAAATTTTTTGATAATTAATAAATATCTTGGATGGTAAATATAAAAATAAGTGTTAATCGATTGTAACCGATCGATATTAAAGTACATGACGATCTAGATTGGAAGCATGTCAGGTCGAAAAGGGGGAGTCCACCCTCACCGTCCTATTATTATCAGAATCAATTATAAATATATGTCTACAATATGTACATACATATACATTAACATTAACACTAAAATTAATATTTATGTATATATCTACAGGTATAAATATGAATACTATACGGTTGAGCAAAACTACGACTACCGTGTGCGGTTAATAGTGTACATAGTGGAGAGAGTAAAAGCGCTGTGGAATACATATACACATGTAGTAAAGTGATGACTGAGGACTGAGCGGCGTCCCACGTCGTCGTAGAGACCAAAGGTAAGACTGTTTTCTGTTTCAGTTTCATTCCGGCACTTCGTACCGTAGTATCAACTTGTCGAATGTCTGATATGTCTTCAGTCTGTCATTAAACTCACTAAGACTGATAACTAGTGGTCACTTAGTAAACATTTTACCGGCATTAATTATTACTCTAAAAAAAAAAATTTTTTTTTTTTTATTTTTTGTTAATTATTTAAATTAATTATTATAGAAAGTGTATTTGAACTATTGACTTTTGTCTAAACCTGTTGATATTGTGCAGCTTCATAGAGAAAGGCAAGACATTATTCTTGCCAGTAATTAGTAACAAATTGAAAAAAAAAAAAAAAAAACTAGTAAGTTATTGTTTATTTTTATTAAATTAATTATTATTCATTATTAATATAAAAAATATGTTATATTTAAAGATTATTAATTTGAATAATAATATTCAATTCAATATCTAATAAAATTACTTGAAATATTATTTATGGTAATCATCAAGGAAATTACGTTGAGAAAAAAAATCAAAACAAAAACATACATTACTTGTTTGTAAATTATAAATGCATTTATTACCGTGTAATTATATTATATCAGTTAGCGCGCTTGCACCGTAGCATTAATTATACCCCAAAAGAAAACAATATATACAATAATCTTTTCCATAAGAATTTTTAAAAAATCGAGTACAAAGCAAACAAAAAAAAAAAGAGAAAACATAACTAATTTGTTTGTCTATTAAAATATATATATATATAGATAATGTGATATTTTGTTAGACATTAGTCATATTTGTTCTATTACGCATTAGATTTTTTGTTCGGGTTTTTGTCACGTAAATATTTGTCCTCATATTAAATGTACGTGATATATTTTATTTCTCATGTTAAAATATAAATTTTCTTCCATAGGGTTGGTTCTTGATTATATTGTAAATAACTTGAAGTTGTTGAAAACAGTTGAGAACCTTAAGGGATTACAAACAGAAAGTAAAAACCTGGCGACCTCGACTTACATATACACTGTAAAATTAAAAAAAATAAAATTTACCGACTTTTTAAAATTTAATTTTGCTGACTGCTATATTTAAAAATAAAAAAAAAAAAAAAAAAAATGATAAAAGCTTTCTCTTTCTATAGAGGATGATTTTGCATTTTCTATCTGTATTTTAAACACTCTTCATAATGGTGAATCGCAAAATACTGTGAGTAAAACTAAAACTCAGATACCTACAGAGATTGAATCTTAAAAAAAAAAAAAAAATAATAAAATGAAAGAGCGAACTCGTTCTTACTGCGTTTCGATCCTTGGTTACGATGTCGTAATTCTGAGTCTGGGGGCTCGACCCACAACTATGCATATATTTTATTTTATTTTATTTATATATAAAGGATAAAGGACTGACAGTGAGCAAGAAAGCCTTATTAAATGACTAGAGTGTGTTAATATAAATAAGAAAGACAGAGTTTAAAGATTTCTTGGGCTTGGGGGAAAGTTGGGAATAAGAATTTGCAGTGAGGCTGATTGGATTGTTGCTGGTACAGGTCGCATTATATCATCAATATAAAATAAACTTTACTCATACATTATTTCTTTCTATGACGTAATATTTGTTTATTTATTTCAATTTCAAAATTTTTATCGATTTTATTTTTAATATAGATAACTAAATAGGAAAAAAAACAAGCACAGGTGTCGGCCCAGAAAATTATTTAATTTAATATATTTAATGGATACGTGCTCATACATTTATATACTTATATATTACAGAATAGACCTCTATTTATTCTGTTTATATTTTATAGTTAATACTCTATGTGAGAAGAATATAATTAAAAATATGCTGGCGATGCTTCTGATTGCTACATTACACGATCATGTACTTATTGTTGTTGTTGTTGTTGTTTATTATTATTATTATTATATTGTATATTTTTAAGTTTATTTCGCTATACTCTTTTATACTGTATATACACTATTCAAGGACTAAAGTCTTTAGTTAAGTGCATAGCACAGAGCATTTCTGCAACACGCTGCGTACGGGTAATGGATAATATTATTATGGTGAATGTATCTAATCGTTGCTGCAACCAATTCGTAAATCGTTTGTACGTGCGTTGATTTAACTCATGTATTTATATATTTTTTTTTTTCAACTTTATAGATATTTTAAAAGAATATTGAGCTTTTGTTATTTGATAATATAATTTTTATCATCAGAATGAATTGTCTACTATAACTTAATTGGCAACTTCAGAACACTATTATTGAGTTTATAACCGTGAAAAATATTTACAAGTCATCTATTAATTATCCGTGGTATAAATATAATACATAATAGACTACGTTATTTTTATTGATGAATCGCTTCTCAGCAATAAATTCAAGTTATTTCTGTACAAAGTAAAATATTGATGTCTCTAATAATAATAGTTTTTAAAATTAATAATTAAAAAATTTTAATATATAATAACTAACATAATCTGTTGAGTAGATGATATTATGGTCAACCTTTCCGTGTCGGTGCATTACATATATATAACAGATAATTAGATTGATCAAGTTGTGGGCGAAAATGAGAATGGTCAAGGGCAATAATGATTATATAATTAACAATGAAAAAATTCTAATTACAAAGATTTAGCCTCGAAAATTATTGATTGTATGTAATTAAAAAATTTTTCAAACAGATCACCAGTTAAATCGATGATAAAATAATAATAATTTAGTAAATACGATTTCTCTTGAATAAAATTTCCATAAACTTTTAGTTAGTTATTTCTAACCGCGGTTTATTCGAAAGTTTTAATCATCAAATGTTATTTTTTTTCTTTATATTTGTAGCTTATTATTACTTCCTTTGGATGATATGATTCAATAAATATTTTGAGTATTAAGTAGTAGAGCTAAGACGTTAATAAATAATTTTGTGGTGAGCAAGTCTTGGCTGCAATTGTTATAGGTTCATGAACTCTTTTAACTCGTTATAATTTTTAAATGAGCCCTAGATGTAGGCTAGCAGTAAGCATTATTATTTAAGACTTAAGAGGATAATTGTGTTAAATTGTCAAGGATCAGCTAACTAGATTTTCTTTTAAATTATTATTGAGATAATTTTCTCATTTATTAATAAATTACTATTTTTTTAAACTTTTTTTTTTTTTTTTTTACTTCATTTAAAACAATTATAGTTTTATTGAAAATTTTATAAAATAATAAAAAAAAAAAAAAAAAAAAAAAAAAAAAAAAAAAAGCAAGTTAAATAATTTAATTATTTACAATAAATAATGAATTTTATAACTGATGTAATTTACTTTCTCCGTTACACCTGGGTTATTTTCATGGCCACCGAGTATCCTCAATCTTTTTGGTCTGTTATTGCTATAAAACACATACGTAACTTATTTAAAAGTTTTATAATATGGAGGTACTTACCGCATCATGTATATACACTGTATACCTTGAAAAGGTAGAAAAAAATGAAATGAAATAAAACAATCTGGCGTTGATCTTGATTATAATGATAGGCATTAAATGTATATAAGGAGTCTAAAATTTGTTCGCGAAAAATATTATTTATCCTGCTCAATAGAGTGAGTAGTTGTTTTACTTAGTTGTAAGATTTATGATTTATGAATGATGAATATTATTCCAAGGAAATTTAAAATCTGGGTTAGTAGGAATCACTGATGATGTCATTGCCATGTATAATGAGGACTCGTGAAATAAAAGATCTAACTTACTTTTTACATTACATATTACATTTTAATTTAATGTAAAGACTTGGTTACTTACTTGTTAGATACGTATACTATTTGGTGTTAACCATCAATTTATATTCGTGTCAATCAATTTTAACTATATAGACAACTTTTATATTCATTATTAGATTACACTTTCTAATTATATTATATTTGTTTTAAAATTATTATAATTCAAGGTGCAATGAATCATTATTTATTTTTATTTGTTATTCTCAAAATGTCGGTGGGTGTATTCTATTGTTGAGTAATTATAATATTCTCTTGATCATGTTTCGTTTATTGAAAGTTAATGATATATCATTGAATCGATGAGTGGTAAATAATTTTTTACAATGACTAATTGCTTTGAATTATAAAAAGAAAAAAAGGTCAAATAATATATTATATTATTAAATAAAAAATCGTCGGTGACTTTATGACACGATAATGATACGATGATATGATGATATGATGAAGAAATTAACAATAGTCAGAATTTTCCGGTATATTTAATTTAAATATAGAGTGACGCGCATGATTGACTCGTTTTATGCTATTACTAACTACATCTTATATCTTATATCTTATATCTTAATATCTTATATCTTATACATAATGATGATGATGATGATGATGATCATGAGTTAAACCATTCCTTTGGATATATAAAACAAAAATACGTTTAGATGTGGATGAGCCAATGTAAAGGTTTGATCTGTCCTTGATAAAATATATTACCGTTTTACTCCTTCAAGAGTTGAGTGTTTACGTAATTTATTTTCACGCACCGAATTTAGACAGATACACGTTAACTATTCTTTGATGTTACAACCAAAAACAAAAAATGATGACAATCTTCAAAAAAATTTAATTACTTTTCTTTTAGTAGTTTATTAAATTAATTCTTTAAAATTACATAAACTTTTAAATATATAATTAAAAATAAATTACAACATAATTAATTGCAAGAAATGAAAAAGGTAAGAAAATTGGGTAATAAATTAGTCAACATTTCGTGTCAGCTGTAAATTATTTTTGTTTTATTTTTTCTTCTTCAACAAATGCACCACAACGGATCATAATAATAATAATAATAATAATTTACTATTAGGCGTGTGTTTGGAATAAAATGTGTTTTGGTTATTTTAATAATTAAAAATACTGACAATTGATAATAAAATAATATATTAGAGGTTGTTTATTAATTTTTCGTTTATTTTTGTCCAGGCAAACGGATATTACGCAATGGGTTACGGTACGGAGATGGATGGCTGCGGCCGTTTTATGAAGTACTCTTTATTTATTGCCAATTTAATTATATTTGTAAGTATTTATTCTTTTTCTCATTTTTTTTTTCTATCAGTTATGATAATAAATAATTAAATTTATATTTATTGTATTAATTAATTCGCTATTTCATGAATTATTTATTTACTTATTTACTTATTTTAAATTTTGAATAACGTCAACTGCCTTTCCAAGGTTAACATCTTAAACACCTGGTTCTCTCAGTATCATTGCCAAGGTGTGATATATGACGCAACCAAAATTATTTAAGAAATAATATCTCTTGAAAGAAAAATTAGATAAAATAATATTTAAAAAATTTTAAACTTTTTATTTTTAGCAATTAATAGTTTTATTTATTTATTTATTTATTTATTTATTTAGATTGGAGGATGCACCGTTGTTGGAATAGTAATTTGGGCATTTGTCGATAAAGTACCATATCTAAGTGCTCTCGTTGGTAATGATTTGTTAGCCGGAGTTGTCTACGTCCTTCTTGTTGGTGGAATATTAATAATTTTGTCGTCGTTCTTCGGGTGTGTTGGAGCCGCTCGTGAAGTAAAATGCATGCTTCTTACAGTAAGTTATTCCTGTTACATCTATTACATCTTTTTCTTTTTGGTAGTATGATTTAAGTTAGAAAATAATTAAATAATTTTATCAAATAAAACAATAAAACATATTATATATTTAGATTTAGGGTCATGTTTTATTCCAGAAAGCAAGAGAACGTGAAAAACATTTAACTAAATATTCTCGGATACATTGCAAGCCGCAGTTTTGTAAACGAAAATAATTTTTACATATACTACTCTCTATTTGTCAAGCATATTAATATTGCAATGTAAAAAAACCCGTATGAATCAATATAATATAAATATTTACAAGTATTTATTTGAAAATACTTTTTTATTTATTTATTTTTATTACTTTTAATTTACCCTCAGTTTATTTATCATGTTGGTTTCATAGTTTAGTTTTTTTTTTTTCTTAAGAAGAAGGGTTTACATTTTTTCTTTCTCTCCCCCTCTATTGGACAAACGAAAGTATCTCTGTCATACTTGTACAGCTTATGGAATCTTAAAACGCATTTTATGCATAAATAAATGAAAATTTTCTAAAAAAGCGCTTCGCTCTTCGTTAGATAATTTAATTATCTATCGAATAGCGAAACGTTTTTTTTTTCAAAATTTTATCTTATTCATGAGAAAAACTCGTTTGAAAATCAACTATCAACCGCTCTTATTAATACAATTTTTACGTGGATACTAATTAATAAATTTTAACGCTTCAATAATAATAGCGCATTAAATAACTTTTGAATCCTACTATTTATTTTTATTAATTGTATTTTTTATTTTTTCAGTATTTCATAATAGTATTTCTGTTGTTTGTAATAATGCTGATTGGAGGAGTCCTAGGATACGTATTCCGTAGCAAAGTTATTGGTACAATTGAACAGGAAATGAGAAATACAATGCGTCTTTATGACAAACATGATATCCATGATGCTTGGGATACAACTCAAAGAACAGTAAGTCCAAAAAAAAAAGAAAAAAAAAAAGAAAAAAAAAAAAAGTATATATTTACAATAAATAATAATTTTTTTTAAGTGAAAAGAGCATACACACGAATAACTTTCGTTATTAAGTTAACTGTGGTGTATGGTGTATATTCTCGCATTCGATATTTCACCGATTTCACCGCTCGAGGCGTACCAACATCATATAATATGAGTTCATGAGAAATATCTTCCGTACACATCTTCCTCTACCTCAACAATATCCATTTATTTATATACGTCATACTCATAAAACTTATTAATTATAACTTTGTTCTCATAACAACCAATAATTTATTTATTCAATTTAAAAAAAATTTTTTTTTTATTTTTTTTATAGTTCCATTGCTGTGGTGTTACTAACTATCGTGATTGGAATACATTTTATCAACGTATCCCGGCTTCATGTTGCAAAGAAATTGAACCTGGCAAGGTAATGATAAATTATTATTATTATTATTATTATTATTATACTATAAAGTCCATCTATATAATAATATATTAAATTAGCTTTAATACAATTATATAATTATATTTTTATCTAAATAATTAACATCTATTTAATGATGATATTATTAAATTTATAAAATTCATAAATCGGTAACGCAGTGATTATCAAGCTTACCGTTGATAAACTAAACACCTAGATATTTATACAAAGTTATAATTATTTATTTATTTTTACAGTATTTCAACTGCAATTATTCGACAGACTCTATAAATCCATCAAACACCTACCAAGATGGATGTTTAGATAAAACGAGAATGTATATCCAAAAGCATGCTTCAATTATGGGTGCTGCTGGAATAGCGATCGCTGTTTTAATGGTAAAAAAAATTTTTTTTTTAATTAGTTCAACAGATTTTAATTTAATTAATTTTCAATTTGTTTGTTTTAGTTCTTTGGGATGATATTCTCGTGTGCATTATTCAGGATGATAGGATGAAATTTTTATAATCTTCAATATTATTAAGCCATTAATAATTTATGTAAGAATAAATTATTTAAATATCAGGACCACCTTACAAATTCATTATTCAAAAATATTTATTCATAAGTGATTTTTATTCTAAATAACTATCATAATATATTTCATTAATCAATTGAAACATATCTTATATTATATTAAATTTTTTCTTGGTAATATATTTATTATATAAGTGTAATAATGTCTACGTACTACTCACATAATTTAATGTAAAAATTATAATTACCGTTTTAAAGTAATTATTAAGCTTAAATTTTTTTATGAAACTCAATTTTCCGATGTATTTTGATTTCTTTATATATTTAAATAATTATAATTGAAGCTTATTTAATTGTTTGTAATTATAATAATAACAACAATATCAAAATATTATTAATGTAATTTAAAATAAAAAATTAAAGATATTTGTAAAAAAATAAAAATTTTTAATGTAATGATATTGAAGTTATCAGACATTTGACTATTTTCAGATTTAAAAAAAAAATTTTTTTTTTCAATTCAAAAATATTGTCTTATTACGTTTTAAACATACCGAAAAAAAGTTAGGTGTTTATTGATTTCAATATTATAAATGTCTTTGGTATTTATAATTCAAACTATTCACATAAATGTCCATTTTGAAATTTTCTTTTTTTAAAGTTTTTCAATTAATGGAAAAAGCTCATTAATAACATTTAATTAAAAAAAAAGAGGTAGATGCAGAGAATAAAACAGAACAATAAAGAATAAAAAAAAAAAAAAAAAAAATGTATATTTGGTGATAAGTTGATAATGGAGATGAAAAAACAAAATAAAATAAAATGAATGGGTATTTGTGTGGATGCAGCGCGTTTCACATCCGCGGGGAAAATGGCAAAAAATCAATCTGAGCAAGTTAGAAGAAATTCTGGTAAGTCGGTAGTCGCTAGGTGTCTGATCTGAAAGTAGAGCAGTTACTACTACTGTTTATTATAATATATACCAGAATAAGAATAAAAATAAGCATAAAAGATATTCCGGACTACGTACGCTCCATGCGGATAACAGATAAGAGGAATCGAAAATACTTTTCAAGAAATTCACTCTTCATTCGTCTTCACTGACAATGGATTCAAAAATAAAAATTTCATAATACAGTTGTTCAACAACTCTAAGAAAATTTTTTATTAATAATGACTGATATTTATTAATATGATTTATAGTGTATTAGATAACTAATGTTGGGAGGAGGATTGTTTAAATGTACCGTTGAATGATATTAAATTAGCGAAATAGAGAAACGTATGATGACTATTACTATCAATAAGTTCCGGACTGTAAGATTTTTATATTATAGATTATGTTGGTTGAAGGTATAAATATGATAGAGAGAGAGAGAGAGAGAGAGAGAGAGCTATATAATAATCAAAAGTCGCAGTGTAACAGAGAAAAGATAAAAAAAAATATTTTATTTAAGTATCTATCTGAGATAAGATCCATCTTATAACTGACCAAATAGTAAAAAATTTAAATAAAAAGGTAAGGTAAGGGGAAGGGGCTTGTAGCTTGTACCTTATAGACTACAGGTGAACACTGAACACTGAGAATACTTATACTACACATAACAGCAGGCGAAAGGGCGTTTCGTTATTACAGGTTTGGTTGCGCTCGTTGTCTATTATATCTATATAGTTACCGCGGCCTCGAGGTCTCTTTCAGCTCTTCCAACTCTTCCAGTCATCATATTCCAATACTCGACTACTCAATACGGTACTATCATATAATGGCCAAAGTGAATACTTACTACTCTTCTTCATACTAAATGTGTACATCATTGTTCATTGATGTCACTTAACCAAAACTTGTATATAATTTTGCTCCCGCCTATTATAATACGGCAGATGCTTTTTCCAACATATGACAGCTTATTTAATATCATTAATATTTTTTTCAACTCCTGAAATTTATAAAATTGTTTTAAAAATTATTTTTTGGAACAAATTTGTTTATTAAATAAAATTAAAAACTTTTTAAGTTTAAGTGACTGCTAACTTAAATGTAATAATTAAAATAAAAATGATTACTAATAATAAGATAAAGCAATAATAAATGATCGATAAATTGACATTGATTTGACAGTATAGATTAATGATTTATCAGTATTAATGAGTATAAATGAGATTATTTAAAAAATGATGATAGCAATAATTATATTTGAATTATTTGATAGAGCAATAAGGAGTCGAGCTTAACTGGATGTGTATATATATATATATTAGGTACACTAGGTACTAACATAACCCCCACTATTTCAGCAAGGCTCGACCATACAACACTACTATACATAACAACACAAATATATTTACACTGTTGGAACGGGGCACCAGCTCCATTGGGGAAGCCAACGAAGAACCAATGCGCATTCTGGTTTCGTTTTAGTCTTCCTGACGCTTTCAGTCATTTCAGTACACAAAGTCGTACGTAGTCAAACAGGTACAACACTAAACCTAACTCAACCGGCAACTGCCATCTTTTTATACGTTTTTTAAAAGTTAATTATTTATTTATTTATTTATTTATATATTTATTTGTTTGTTTGTTTGTTTTAATCTTTTATAGAATTCATCAACTCCCCAAGTGTTTATTTTGAAAATTTGTTTGAAAATATTGGATGATATCACAAGTGACATGTTATTAAATTTAAAAATTCTGTGAACAAAGTAAAGTTTAAATAATAACTATACTTGGATTGTTGGGGTTGACAATAAAAGGTTTATGTATGGCATTACCCTATGGATAGTAACATGTCAGCAGCGGCCTTTATGCACCGGTAAGTTTATTTTTTTTTTTTTTTTTTTTTTTTATAAATAATATTTTAAACTTTTCAGCAAGTGTTTTTTGTAAAAAATTAAATAATCAGTTTTATTTAATAATGATTTTAAAATTATACAACTGTATTGACCGGGAAAACATGGACGATATCCGTTAAAATCGATACAAAACTCGAGGGATAGAAAAAAACAGTGGAAGCAATGGGGCGTTTCGCCATAGGGTTTCAGCTTCGAGTAGTAACAGTATAGGTACGATCATGGTCGGACTGAACTTTACTCGTTATCTCCGCAAGCAGTATATTTCTTTTATTTTTTTTTTTTTAAATTATTGGAAAAAATAATTATAAAAAGGCAAGAGAATATTTACATCACCGGATGAATTACATTTACTAATAATTGGAAACTGATTACGGAAATTTAATAACGTTATTGAGTTTACCCGATTCCGTTTTCCATGATTTAATTTTGTCATTTAATAATCGAATTTTAATTACAATTCTCCATCATTAATCTAATAATTTAAAAAGATTTTTTTTCTTCAAGGCGATTTTCTTTAAATTCCCACTTGGGAAAATATTGATTTTTTCCATCACAAATTTATGCAAATTCCCATCAGTTCTTGGATAAATTTAAGGAAAAATTAATTTTAAATTGAATTTTTTTTTTAATTTATAAAAAAATCCTTTAAGCCGATTAAAAGATTTACTATTCACTGGTTTTTTGCTAAAAAAAAAGAGTTGTGATAAGTACCGAGCAAAAACTAATTGACCTAATTGAAGTTTATATACATTGAATATATATCAGTGCTCCTGATAAATAAATTCATAAAAAAGTATTATCAATAGAACAGTAGAGTATACACACTGTTAATTAAATAAATTGTTCTCAACGGTCAGTTATTATCTATAGACTCTTTAGAGGAGCGTAATAGAAATAGAATATTGTTATTATTATTATTATTATTATTATTATTATTATTATTATTGTTGTTATTAATTAAGCGAAATTGCCGCACCCCATATTTATATGTCATCGTATATACAACTCGTTAGTGGATAGTTACCAATAAAATGAAAAAAAAAAAAATGAAAAGAAGAGTATAAAAATATATGAATAATTACAACTAAAAATGAAACTCAATTCATTAAACATTATACTGAACAACTGTAGGGATTAAATCTAAATATATAAGCTAATCATAAGTATAGTGTCCCAGAAATGCGTGCAAGCGAATCGGAGAACTTGTAATTGTAAAATATTTTCATTTTTATTTTTTTACCTCTACTTATTATATTTATAGTGATCAATTTTGTCGGTACTTTCAAATGTATTTTATCTTTTCATCACTTTTTAACATTTAAACCCCATCAGTTAATTTATTACAAAGTATGATCGCAATTCAAGCTGAAAAAGAAAAAAAAATGACAGGACAGCATTTTTTTAAAATTCCTTATTACTTACATTCCAATTGGCGAGTTACCAATACTCTATGCAAGGGTGAAAAAATTTTATATCCGGCCAAGTTGAATGTATTAACCATTTAACCATCCAGGTTGGTTACATACATACATGTATATATATATATATATATATACATAGATACGAGTAGTTATGTACAACTGACAGTCAACTTACGTCAGGTTATTCGTCTTCACGCCATCTGGTTTGCGTCGCACAGCAGGGCGCATTACAAGGGAGAGTAATCTGACTTGCGAATGCCACTGTTTAATTTTTTTTATTTTTATTGTCAATTAAAATTTTTAGATTAATCATTTATTTAATAAACTCTAAAAATTAATTATTTTAGAGTTTATAATTAAAAGATTATTTATTAATAGAGAGCTTTTATGATAAAAAAATTTTTTAAGTCATCTATTGATCACAGAGGGTATTAAAAAATAAATATCTTTATTTTTTTTTACCTTTTTTTTAAATGAATCAGTTGATTCTTTCTCTTTCTTAAATATTCCTTTCTCTTGTGCTGTTATTCTTATTGTTTTTATAAATGGTCTTTGAGTTTTTGCGCTTAGACGTCCTCGGTTAGCTTGGTGTCGAATCAAACCGGTCCGCTTTCCTTGAACCTGGTACGTAGCAGCCATTGACCGCGTACCTGAGACTCTTTGGTCTTTGGTCTTTCGTCTGCTCTCTGTATATAATAAGTATAATATT